CACATGTGCAATTTGATCTTACATACGCAGGAAAGTTGAGCAGACAAGGGCGTTTCCACCAAGGACGTTGGTTTGGGTGATATTGAGATTTAGAAAGAACCTTGACTAGTTGGTGTCTTGTCTAACACAGGGCTCTTTACTTTGGACTTACATTGTACAATAATATTGGTTTCATAGATCATTGTTATGGTGGATTTTTTGTTGAAATTTTCCTGTCCATTTTTTGCTCCTCAAAGCCCATTATGTCCTATGTAAGTCATACACATGAACTACATGAATTATTAGTGGGCACCTTATGTGTTGTTTTTGCAGAAGGAGCCATGTAGTGATGTGAGCAGTCCCAGCAGTCCCCGTGTGTCCCCGCCCTCCAAGCGTACAAGGCGGCAGGTGGCCTCTGAGCCCAGCTCCACCGATACCTCCCCATCTCCTCAAACCAAGGGTCAGAGAGTCAGCTGGGACATTCCTACTTATCACACCAGGTCAGTTTTTGGCATTTGTTTTCCACATTGTATATATATTTTTGTGCAGCACAATAATGCATTTCCTCTGGTGGAAGTAAATTTAATGCTTTAATTATACTGTGTTTTTTTTTTTAGGATTAGGAATTACCAGATGCTAAATGTTATGTGCTTTGAGGGAATTAGCTTAAATGTTTTTTTAAAGATAGTTACTTTTTATTATTTGCATTACTTATCTTCATATGTAATTTTATCTCCACATGTCCTTACTTCGCTTTTTTTGTTTCACTCCCAGGCTGTCTTCACGCATTATGCAAAATGGTCATGGTAAGTGTCTGGTCTTCAGTAATTATAATTTTTGAACTTCAAGCCACACATGTACACATGCAAATGGAAAGTACAGTTTTTAAAATGACTTGTCCCCAATTGAAGTGTCTGTCAATTCTTTAGACCATATTAATCACAGAAATGAGAACAGTGGAGGTGGGGACCATTCTCACATGAACGGTCATGATGAGTTGAGGAAGAGCTGCCGTGTTAGAAAAAAACAATTTCAACACCTCAATCAGAGCCTGCTGTTTGACCAGCTTGTCAACAGGTAGTGTGGAGTTTTACTGACATGTCTTTTTGTATGTGAACTGTTTGGACCGAGCTCAAGTAATTACCACAGAGAAATGCATGTTATACTGTATGTTTAAATTATGAAGATCTTAAGAGCAACTTAATTTTATTTGCTTAATGTTAGGTCTGTCTGTCACTGGCCTGCCATTCTGATCTTAAACCTTAAAAAAATATTAACATGATCACAGTGTAATTAGAATTTTTAGTTTACTTTGACAGTAATATTGGTCTTTGCAATATTTTCTTTAGTAAAACTCTGTACAATATGAATTATAGATAGTGTGGCATACCAGCTGAATTTCTGTTAACATAACATTAAAGTTACTGAGAGACTGTGACTGTGAGACAGTAGTTTTTCATGTTACACACCTGGTGTAGAACAAAAGCGTTAATGTGTGATGTCACATTCTCGGTGCACTGCGGATCGTGACCTTCCCACTAATGTTGCACTTGTAAAAAGGTGCCTTTGGTTTGTTCACACTCTGTTCCGCTTGTTCTGGCGTGTGCAGCACTGCCGAGGCTGTCCTTCAGGAGATGGACAACATCAGCAGCATCAGACAAAATCGCGAGGTGGAGCGACTTCGCATGTGGACCGGAGACCCCGAAGAGGTGTGCGAGGTCATATTGCATTACACAAAGCGGGTTGAGAAAATCCCAACACTGCAGCTTTATGATATACTTTATGAAAACAACTCATAGCCTCAAGGTGTTTTTTCAGGAAAACATTGACATGTATTCCCGGGTGAAGCGCCGGAAGTCCATGCGCAGGAGCACTTACAGCATGCCAGCACACCATAAAGTCAAGAGCAAAACAGAGCAGGAAGTGGAAGAAGGGGATGCTAAATGTTATGTGCTTTGAGGGAATTAGCTTAAATGTTTTTTTAAAGATAGTTACTTTTTATTATTTGCATTACTTATCTTCATATGATTTTTTTAAAGATTATTATTTGCATTACTTATCTTCATATGTAATTTTATCTCCACATGTCCTTACTTCGCTTTTTTTGTTTCACTCCCAGGCTGTCTTCACGCATTATGCAAAATGGTCATGGTAAGTGTCTGGTCTTCAGTAATTATAATTTTTGAACTTCAAGCCACACATGTACACATGCAAATGGAAAGTACAGTTTTTAAAATGACTTGTCCCCAATTGAAGTGTCTGTCAATTCTTTAGACCATATTAATCACAGAAATGAGAACAGTGGAGGTGGGGACCATTCTCACATGAACGGTCATGATGAGTTGAGGAAGAGCTGCCGTGTTAGAAAAAAACAATTTCAACACCTCAATCAGAGCCTGCTGTTTGACCAGCTTGTCAACAGGTAGTGTGGAGTTTTACTGACATGTCTTTTTGTATGTGAACTGTTTGGACCGAGCTCAAGTAATTACCACAGAGAAATGCATGTTATACTGTATGTTTAAATTATGAAGATCTTAAGAGCAACTTAATTTTATTTGCTTAATGTTAGGTCTGTCTGTCACTGGCCTGCCATTCTGATCTTAAACCTTAAAAAAATATTAACATGATCACAGTGTAATTAGAATTTTTAGTTTACTTTGACAGTAATATTGGTCTTTGCAATATTTTCTTTAGTAAAACTCTGTACAATATGAATTATAGATAGTGTGGCATACCAGCTGAATTTCTGTTAACATAACATTAAAGTTACTGAGAGACTGTGACTGTGAGACAGTAGTTTTTCATGTTACACACCTGGTGTAGAACAAAAGCGTTAATGTGTGATGTCACATTCTCGGTGCACTGCGGATCGTGACCTTCCCACTAATGTTGCACTTGTAAAAAGGTGCCTTTGGTTTGTTCACACTCTGTTCCGCTTGTTCTGGCGTGTGCAGCACTGCCGAGGCTGTCCTTCAGGAGATGGACAACATCAGCAGCATCAGACAAAATCGCGAGGTGGAGCGACTTCGCATGTGGACCGGAGACCCCGAAGAGGTGTGCGAGGTCATATTGCATTACACAAAGCGGGTTGAGAAAATCCCAACACTGCAGCTTTATGATATACTTTATGAAAACAACTCATAGCCTCAAGGTGTTTTTTCAGGAAAACATTGACATGTATTCCCGGGTGAAGCGCCGGAAGTCCATGCGCAGGAGCACTTACAGCATGCCAGCACACCATAAAGTCAAGAGCAAAACAGAGCAGGAAGTGGAAGAAGGGACTGAAGGTCAGTGAACTGATTCAATGTTTTATGAATCAGTAGAGTGATGGAGGTATCATGAAAACTTAACAAGTTGCCTCTCTCTCTCAAACCCAAAATTTCCTTGTGATTTTTTATTTTATCAGTTCAATCTTCAGCCCCATTCAGACCAAGTGTTTATGTCCACACTAATCTTAACTGGACAGCTCTGGGCATTGAAATTCTCCCTTGATGTTTTATAATCCTTACTTTTTGGACCTTTTAGAATCTCACGGTGAAGAAGAAGAGGATGCAGAGGATGATGAAGATGATGATGAAGGGGATGATGCAGAAGAGGCGGGAGAGGAGAATGACAGACCATACAACCTCAGGCAGCGCAAAACTGTGCAGCGATATGAGGCACCCCCTATTGGTACGTGCATTTTTTATTCACATACTTTGTATTCAGTGCGCGTGTCATCATTTCTACTTGTTACTGCTTCAGGCCTGATTTGTCACAACCAGGAACTTTGTGTTTGTTTTCTCAGAGCCTGTGAGCAGACGGCAGACCAATGCTTCACTTTTTGACACTCATAGATCCCCAGCAAGAAGAAGCCATATCAGGTTAGGGCACAACCTACTAGTACAAACGTTCAGCCGCATCTAATGTTAATTTATCAATGTGTAAACTTGAATTGCTGCCTCCGTGTGTCAGCTTGGAGCTTTGATGACTGAAAGGATTACACTGATCAATAAGTGCTGTCAAACTCTCATTGTGCAGCACTGAATATAGATTGTCACACTTCACAGAGTGAAGAAACATGCCATTCACAGCAGTGACACGACCTCATCCTCTGATGAAGAACGGTTTGAGCGGAGGAAAAGCAAAAGCATGACACGGGCTAGAAACAGGTGATTGTTGCTCATTAAATACTCATTAGAAACAAGTTTTTTTGTGAATGTAATTTAGGACACAATGCAGTAGTTAATGTGTTTTCCTCTCTGTTCATCTTCCACAGATGCTTGCCTATGAACCTGACTGCTGAGGACCTAGCCAGTGGGGTTTTGCGTGACAGAGTGAAAGTGGGCGCCAGCTTGGCTGACGTGGACCCCATGAACCTCGATACCTCCGTGAGTACAGCTTTGTTTGAAACTTAAGACTCTGAATTGCTAGAAAGTACATGGTCGGTCACGGGTGATGTGGGAAATGCGTTCTCTCCTCAGGTGAAGTTCGACAGTGTCGGTGGCCTCAGTTGTCATATCCAGTCGTTGAAAGAAATGGTAGTTTTCCCATTGCTTTACCCCGAGATCTTTGAGAAATTCAGGATTCAGCCCCCCAGGTGAGAAAACAAACAAAATGTTGTTGTTTCATGATGGTGAAAAAAAGCTTGTGAGATAAGACCAAAAACAAAAAGGACTTTTTGCAATAAAGTGAAGCAAAAATAAAAACATTTGTTTTGGTCAAAGCCATGAGGTTTTATCTTGTCCTTTGCAGAGGATGTTTGTTCTACGGACCACCGGGGACAGGAAAGACCCTGGTAGCGAGGGCACTAGCCAATGAGTGCAGCCAGGGAGACAAGAAGGTTTCCTTCTTCATGAGGAAAGGAGCCGACTGCCTCAGCAAATGGGTCGGGGAATCAGAGCGGCAGCTACGTCTTCTCTTTGACCAGGTGAGTTTCTGCTTCTTTGAAGTTTTATCACCTTACTGTATCCACAGCCTTTTTTTAACAAATGCCTTTTCTACCTCAATGGTAATTAATGTATTACATTATTAATGTTTTTCACAGAACAGTGTTGTTGTCTTTGTATTGACCTTTCTTTTCTGGTGTGTGTGTGTTTTTTTGTTGTCATCAGGCGTACTTAATGAGGCCGTCCATCATATTCTTTGACGAGATTGATGGTTTGGCTCCTGTTCGCTCAAGCAGGCAAGACCAGATACACAGGTGAGTGGAGTGTGATTTAACTCTGGTGTGCAAAATGCTAAACTCCTGCTTCTCATTATTAATGCTTGAAATACAGTATATTGATTCCTCTAACGCGGCTCAGTGTCACGTTACATTACTGATAAATCTTATTTGACAGCAGCCTTCCTTCATCATTAATTTAAATATGACAGAGGTGTTAAGTGTCTCATTGAAAAATAACTCAGACCAAACGCTAACTTACCCATTTGTTTGTCTTGTACTTTTCTCTTATATTTTATGCACACAAACACTGGCCACCCTGCCTGCACTTTTAAACTGCTGGAGTTTTTTTTCTTGCCAGAAGGTGGCACAGGTTTGCCGGTATCCAGACTGGAAATGTACGGCAGACTGCATTCTTTCTGATTTTAATTTTGATTTGCTTGGCTTCTCTGTAGCAACCTAGGAATCCATGATAACAGCACTTTGGTTTGAGAAAGTTAGAAAACATGCTACCTGGCTGCTTGAATGTCTTAGATTAATATCATGGATTTATGTGTACGTCACAATACGGCCTCATGTTTCCATCAGCAAATCTTTGAAAGAAGAGCCACAGGTTTGGAAAGTAACTCTAGAGGCATGTTAGTTCATGTGTTCATTTTAGAAGATAAGGCACAACAGGACATGGCACATGTTCATGCACATTGTGTGTGACAGCTTGAGCTGCCCAGTAGGGGCCTGGCAACATTAACTGACGTTAATGCTGGAAGTCGGGCATCACTTAGTCAGGCTTTGTAGTCTTTCAATATTTTCCTAAGCCTTCAATTTGGGAAAAGGGTTATCAACTGGATAGATTTTGTATTTTTATTCATATTGTTGCTAAATAATATGTTTTTAATCAGAGTTCACGTGAGTAAAATTGTAAATGTTTAACCTATCTGATTATTTTCTTTGCAGAAACCTTTGTTTGTATTTGACCTAATACAAATCACAGTTTTATTTCAAAACATTTGCCCTTGTTATCATAGGATGGTGTGTTTGGTGATTTTCTTTTTTGTTTGTTTTTCTGTCTTTTGTGAGTGTTTGCTTAAAGCAACCTAAAACTTTCTGTGACATCTTCATATTTTCTTTGTTCAGTTCTATTGTGTCCACTCTGCTGGCATTGATGGATGGCTTGGACAGTCGTGGGGAGATAGTGGTCATCGGTGCTACAAATAGACTTGACTCTATCGACCCAGCTCTCAGAAGACCGGGGCGATTCGACCGGGAGTTTCTGTTCAATCTGCCTGACAAGAAGGTAAGGAGGATTATAAAATCAATATTCTGTCCAGAGATCGTGTACACAGTGGTTGTCATCACAAGTTGTGTTGATCCTGCAAATTCAATTTCATTAGATGCATTTTTGTGCATTGCAGCAACATCATAAGTTTGATTGGCATCATTGTGCAGGCTGACGTTGATTCATTGATTTACACAGTTTATGCAGCCTTCAGATAACTACTAACATTATTTCATTAGAATTACTAACTGTTCATACATTTATACCTGCGTGCAACCCTAGATGTAAGAGTGAGTGAGCCAGTCTGGACAGGTGTGGTCTTAACAGTTGGCTTTGAGGATGATTGGTGGGAGAGAATTCCTGAGGCAGGGGTGAATCGGCTGAAGGCTCCGGCCTCTATGGTAATCATACTGGCAAACTGCTGCATCAAGATGGATGGAGGCTGAAGACCTGAGAGTGTAGATGGTCGTGGTGATGTGCAAGAGAGCAGAAAGGTGTTTTCTTTGTTTAAAAGTGAGAAAATGTTGTGCTTAATGGGACTTTATTGATGGCCAATGAAGTTGCTGGAAAATAGAATTGATTTGACGAGTGGAGAATTATTTTGGTAATGAACGCTTAAAACCCGTCAATAGATTTATTTTCATCAGTATTGTAAGAGTATTTAGTGCTGTGTTTATACATGGTAACAATAGCCAAGAAAAAGCAGGTCTGTGAGGAACAGCAGAAGCAGAATCTTGAAACATCTTGTTTGATATTCAGTATAACGTGAATTGAGCTCCGGTAATGCTAGTTGTGAGCTGAACAATAGTAAAACAACAGGTCTAAATGTTTGTATTTTCTTGAAGGAGTGAGTCCAAAGCATTCACTGTTTCCAAGGAAAAGCCTTTATTTTACATGGCTATTTCACATAGAAAATAATAGAGCTATGTGTTTTACAATGTTATTTTGTTGTTGTCTCTGTGTCTCATGTAACTCTGTTCACTGGAAATTCTCACCTCAGGCCAGAAAGCACATCTTGGAGATTCATACACGGGAATGGAATCCCAAATTGTCTGAGCCATTTGTTGAAGAACTTGCAGAAAAATGTGTTGGTAAGGCTGACATTTGTGTTTACAGTAAAATGACAGATGTGGTGTTTGACATTTTGAAGAAACATATTTTGTGATTACCTTTGTTTTTCTGTCTTTCAGGCTACTGCGGGGCTGACATTAAAGCACTTTGCACAGAGGCAGCCTTGGCGGCACTGCGTCGTCGCTACCCTCAAATCTACGGCAGCAGTGTCAAACTGAGGCTAGATGTCTCCACCATTGTCTTGGGGCCTGGTGACTTCAGCAAGGCCATGAGAACAATTGTCCCAGCATCCCAGAGGGCCCTGGCTCCCCCAGGCCGAGCCCTGTCCCCTACCATGCGGCCCCTGCTGGCAAACTCCTTCTCCTTGGTGCTGAAAGCTCTGCTCAGAGTCTTCCCTCATGCTCAGTGTTCTGACAGAGGCAACACACATGGTAACGGTCGGGGATGCAGGGAGCTGCGGTTGGGGCTGTAATATTTTGTCTTCACTTTGCTACTGCAAAATGCTGCCTCTCCCACCTTGACGTTTGCTCTCCCCTCCCGTGCTGTTTGCTTGATTTGTTTGGGTGTTTTTCTGTTGGCAGTTTTGTAATAAGAAGGAAGCAAAATAAGAAAGAGATAATGAAATGTTTCTGTCACTGTGCACATTGTACAAAGGTGTAGAGAAACATCTTTCCCCGAGGTATAAGAAGTGATAGTGTAGATATTAGATAACAGTTAATCCTCAGAACCCACCTGAAGTCAACAGGAATGTTTACAGCAGATTAGCTGCAACAGAGCAACATCCCGGCTGTAGGTTTAAGACTAAGTTCCAACATGAATTTCCTCAGTTGTAATTTGTTTTTGCACATTTGCCACTGAGCCAGACTTCCCTTTTATGCCTATCCTTTTAGGAAAATTGCCGCATTAATGTAATCGACAGGGTTGCTTTCACGATTAAAGTTTGTGAAAACAAGCTTTTATGTGCTTTTCACCACCAAAGTGCTCAGTCATTTTTTGTTAACAAGTTGTGTTCCTGCTTTTTGTAATGAGCCCTGTTCCACTACTTTTTAGGCCGCGACAATCAACTGCTAGATGAGGAATTGTACAGCGATGATGACAATGAGAATTGCTCGTCTTCCATCTACGAAGATGAGCCTGCTGCATCCCTCGAAGAGTCTTCTGCGGTGCACAGACCCTTCCTCCATTTTTCTTTGTGAGTCCAGAGTATTCAGAAGTATTCTGGATTAGTAATGAGGGCAACAACAGTGAAGGATTGAATTTATTGTACTATCTATATGAATTATAAAACGGTCTGACCAACAAAATATGAATTAACAGTATAATGTGTTGTCAAGTATTAAGTGAGTAGTGATGATGTTACTGGCATATGCACTTTAATTTATAAATGTGGCACGTTCTACTGTACGTTTTTGTAAACATTTTCACCGCTTAATGAAAGTAAATGACTTAAATTAGTGCATGAGTGCAACAAAAAAAAAGATTTATTTTCAGTAAAGGACAAGTTTACCTTTGATAGTTTGTGCTTTTGTTACAGTGGTTCCCAAACCTTTTGCAGTTGGGACTATTGTTATTACAGCTGTGACATCAAATCACTTCACAACAAGGTTTGATCTTGTTGTGTTTAGTGCTCACTGAATACAGGGTAAACCCTATTGATTTTACACTAAGACTGTGCGTTCAATCTCTGAGGGACTAGAGATTAAATGCTGGGATTAAATGAGCAGGTTAAAGACATACCAAGAAGCCAAAACATTCAAGCTCTGCTGCGAGTCCCTCATCCTTTCTTTTCACTGGAAGAAAATGACACTCAACAAAGAATTTGAAAACCCAAGAATTGATAGAGAGAAAAAAAAAAATTCACAAGGCTAAACTATCATTGATCTGTAATCACGCAGTATTATCCACTACACTAAATACCAACTCCCTTCTGCTTCCAGCTCTGCTCTTCGACAGCCCACTGCATACCGGCCTCGTCTTCTGTTGGCCGGGGCCCCTGGCTCGGGACAGAGCTCCCACTTGGCCCCTGCGCTGCTGCACCATCTGGACAAGCTGCCAGTGCATCGCCTGGATCTGCCCACCCTTTACTCTGTCAGCGCTAAGACACCAGAGGAGTCGTGTGCTCAGGTATTACACAGGAGGGATGTCGCTTTTTGTCTGATAATTTCACTTTTCTTTCATGTGTGGTAGGAAAAGTCGAGTGTGGAAATCCCGTCTGAGTGAATGTCAGACTGTTTGACAGCCGATGCAAAAACGGCGATGTCTTACAAAATACATACATCAAACTGTCAGGAAAACTTCAAATGTTTGTTTCTGAGAAGACATATGATTGCCTGGATCTCTGAGCACTATATCTTTGAAGATGTAGATTTACTTTTTTAGTGAGATTTTAGATTTTTTTTTTCTTTAAATGGCAGTGTGCAGATATTATTTAATATCTAAGATTATGTTTGAACCATAACCAACAGCTCATCTGACTTAATTAAAATTAACAGAACATGTTTTTGGTTGCAGGTCTTTCGTGAGGCGTCTCGGAGCGTACCAAGTGTGGTTTTCATGCCCCATATCTCTGAGTGGTGGGAGACGGTGGGTGACACAGTGAAGAGCACTTTTCTCACCCTGCTGCAGGATGTGCCCTCTTTCAGCCCTGTCCTAATTCTTGCCACGGCTGAGACTCACTACTCACAACTGTCAGGGGAGGTAGGAAAAATTATGCAGAATATTTAAAAAGAAATTACACCTTTTGGTGGTGCTGTTTTAAGATGACATGTGCATAAAATGAGTTATTTCTTAACCAAATTAAAGGTATCCTAGTTATCCAGGGTCATTTAGGAGCATTTTAAGAATTAATCTAAGAGTAAAACTTTAACAAATTGCTGTCCGTTTGTTGGCTTTGGTCAAAATGCCGGTGCGTAGTGTCGAACCTGAAGTATTTTTACTCAGTAGTAGAGTCCTCCACTGAAGTCATAAATCAAAGGGTCCTTTTTCCTTTCATAGTCCGTAATGTGAGTACAGATACACAGAGTGTATCACAGTCGAGGTTTTCTGCTCCCACAGAGTTCCATCTACTTCAGCTTCATCTCCCTTTCCTTATCAATTATTCCACTGCCCACTTTTCTCTTTGGTGATCCTCACTGCTGCTCCTCTATCCCTTCTCTTGGATTTATTATTCTCTCTTTTTTTAAAAAAAAAAGAAAGAAAGAGAAAAAAACCAAAGCAGCATCAGACCCCCTACTGTGTGGTTGGTTGGAAATGAGAGATTGCAATAGAGTGGGGATGGGGAGTGGAGGAAATTAGATGGGGAAAAGATATGGAGGAATGTCAGACTGTTTGACAGCCGATGCAAAAACGCAGATGTCTTACAAAATACATACATCAAACTGTCAGGAAAACTTCAAATGTTTGTTTCTGAGAAGACATATGATTGCCTGGATCTCTGAGCACTATATCTTTGAAGATGTAGATTTACTTTTTTAGTGAGATTTTAGATTTTTTTTTTCTTTAAATGGCAGTGTGCAGATATTATTTAATATCTAAGATTATGTTTGAACCATAACCAACAGCTCATCTGACTTAATTAAAATTAACAGAACATGTTTTTGGTTGCAGGTCTTTCGTGAGGCGTCTCGGAGCGTACCAAGTGTGGTTTTCATGCCCCATATCTCTGAGTGGTGGGAGACGGTGGGTGACACAGTGAAGAGCACTTTTCTCACCCTGCTGCAGGATGTGCCCTCTTTCAGCCCTGTCCTAATTCTTGCCACGGCTGAGACTCACTACTCACAACTGTCAGGGGAGGTAGGAAAAATTATGCAGAATATTTAAAAAGAAATTACACCTTTTGGTGGTGCTGTTTTAAGATGACATGTGCATAAAATGAGTTATTTCTTAACCAAATTAAAGGTATCCTAGTTATCCAGGGTCATTTAGGAGCATTTTAAGAATTAATCTAAGAGTAAAACTTTAACAAATTGCTGTCCGTTTGTTGGCTTTGGTCAAAATGCCGGTGCGTAGTGTCGAACCTGAAGTATTTTTACTCAGTAGTAGAGTCCTCCACTGAAGTCATAAATCAAAGGGTCCTTTTTCCTTTCATAGTCCGTAATGTGAGTACAGATACACAGAGTGTATCACAGTCGAGGTTTTCTGCTCCCACAGAGTTCCATCTACTTCAGCTTCATCTCCCTTTCCTTATCAATTATTCCACTGCCCACTTTTCTCTTTGGTGATCCTCACTGCTGCTCCTCTATCCCTTCTCTTGGATTTATTATTCTCTCTTTTTTTAAAAAAAAAAGAAAGAAAGAGAAAAAAATCTTTTTTTAAAAAAGAAAGAAAGAGAAAAAAACCAAAGCAGCATCAGACCACCTACTGTGTGGTTGGTTGGAAATGAGAGATTGCAATAGAGTGGGGATGGGGAGTGGAGGAAATTAGATGGGGAAAAGATATGGAGGAAAGTAAAGAGGGCTTTACTCTTGTCAGGCAAAAGCAGGACTGTAATTAGGTCAGAGGGTTGGAAGGCCCTGGAAAACTATATCACAGTATATGGCCAGACTGCAGGATGTATTTTCTCTGTCTGGCCGCGGGGAAAGCAAGACTTCAATCCTGGTGATGCTCCAAGGTGGGAGGGACACTTTCTGCAGTAGACTTCACGGGGGAGAAGACCACTGTGCTTATTTAATCTCTGATGTTGTTACTGCCAGTTGATACTGTAATGATTTTCCTATTTTTTTTATTTATTTTTGTGTTATTTTGGAAAGTTTCTTTTCCTCATGTTTTGCAGTTGAAAGTTTCCCCATTATGTGTTGGATTAAGATGAGGTTTATCCTGCTGTTTATTAATCTGTGATAATAATTTACATTAGTCTGCAGACTGTCCTCAGTTCCACAGAGGTCATGGATTTTCAGTAAGCCACAGAAGCACACTAGGAGCTCCACTGCTAAGTTTATAGTTGGTCCCACTGAAACACGGCCCAGACTTTCCACTGAGAACAATTTGCATGTTGGAAACAAGGACAAGCCTGGCAGTATTTATCTTTCCAATAATTTCACTTATTTGCAGAAATGTGTTTTATTACGTTAGGATTTTTTTTTTTTTTTTTTTGTGGAACTGTGGGAAATTTTGCTTTTCAATTTTCGAGTATGGTTTTGCCGCAGTGTTTGGTCCTGTAAGCAATTCGGCTGTGTGTGAGTGTGGTGCTGCACTGTCTGGCTCTGAGAACACAGTGACAGCTGCTGTCTCAGCTCCAAACCTCAGCAGGGAGCAGGCAGCATCCCTCCCCAGCCAAAACTGTCACTACAGGCTTAGGTCCAACTACATGGCCTCCTTCATTCCCCAAACAGCCCTTCACTGTGTATGGCTGGGCTTCCAGTTTGGTGGAGGCTAATGGAAATAGCTCCAACACATCTTTTGTAAAGCAGAAATAATAGCTGTTACCAACAGCAGTTAGGGAGACGGCAACCTACAGTCGGTGTGTGTGTGTGTGTGTGTGTGTGTGTGTGTGTGTGTATGTATATAACTGGCTGGAAATAGTAGATGCTTGTGCTGAAATTACTGAAAAGACATAAATATTAATGTGTGGAGACACAGATGATGTAATGCAGTAAACAAAAACAAACAATTCATACGACTTCACTTATATTTTTAGAGGATTTTTTAATAGTACCGGTTGGTTGATGTAGGATTTAAATACAGGTAGATGGAGGCCAATTATATATATGTGAATTCTTTGTTCATGCGGCGATGTCATGACATCTAGATTTAAAATAAGTCTGAGGTGGTCTACTCTGGTCCAAACTATTTGGGTGTTTATCGTAATGGGCTTTTGAACAAATAAATTAATCTGTAAACTTGAAATATATTTAGAAGAGGAGATAGCACAGATGTGCAGAGGTTTCTTTGTGAAACCCAACAGATGGTAGCTACTTATAAAGTGCAAACTTGAGTTTGCTGAGTTTCTAGGTTGTTAAGTAAACAATTATTTTGATCATTATATGCTATTGTTTTAATTTTTAATTCTTATATATTTTTTCCTTCCTTCCCAGGTAGGTTACTTCACTAATTAGCAACGCAATGAAACAGTTCCTCAGGAATGTTGTCTTCGACATAAACCTGTTAGGAGTCAAAATCTTTATGATTTTATATCTACTTATCAAGAAACTCATAACCTTCACACTCTTAAATGTCCCTAAAATTTCAAAATAAACCTCTGCATCACAGGTACCACAAAAATATTGTTCAGCTTCCCCTGTGGAAAGAAGCCCCCGCAGCACCAGCTTCTTGCAGCTCCACTCTGCCCCTGCTCGGTTGTCACCGTCTGTGCATCAGAGTGAGCATTACTGTTAGGATTTCATCAGCATTTTTTTTCTCCAGCTCTTGTTTTCATTTCAGTGCTCCTGCAGGAGATTTGAAGTGATCTCCTGTGTTCTCAAAGGCAGAGGCAGAGTTTTTACTTCTAGACCGTGGTGATTTAGTGCTGCGTCTCCAGTACAGCTGCTTTTTATGTGGATTGCACACAGGACTGTTGATTCTAGTTTTGTGTTTTACTGTGTGCTCAATTTCCAGTTGTATGAAAGTTTCTTTTTTGGACAATAACACAGGAGAGACGGCAAGGTTTCTTTTGGACCGCTTTGAAATAAAGTGCTCAGCACTCAAGAAATGATTGTTGTTTGGGGAATATGTCGTGACTGCTTCCTTACTGCACTTTACGCCATCGTAAACCCTATGGAGAATCATTAGCCGTCTCCTCGCTGTTTCTATCATTATACATTTCATTCCCCCCCTTTTTTTGCCACTAGTGTGAAGGAGAGCCAAAGAAGGAAACGGACCAGAAGGGGATATGGAGAGAAAAGCATTGTCTAAAAAAGAGGATCGATGTGAAAGACAGATGGGGCGAGATATAAAGTGCTTAGCCAGCAAACAGGGATTTCCCATCGGGAGCAGCTTGAGAACTTCATCACACAACTGAGTTGGGAACTTCGATGCCCCCAGTAGCATTTAAAATGCTCACTAGACTTTAAAGAAGCTCAGCTATGTCTTTTGTTTACCCGTGCCAGTAGTGTGCTTCATTACAGATGGTAAACTTTTAATTGAAAGATAATTTAAAAAATTGAAAGAAGCGCAGTAGATAACTCCATCTGTGGCTGTTTTTATGTAGCTACGTTCACACACAAATACACTCATACGCACACACACAACTTAACTTTCCTAAGTTATGTTTCAATGGATTTTAAAGTGCATCTCGTTTGCATAAATTTTATTACAATTATTATTTTTTTATAATTAAGAAGATTGGTGTTACTCCGTGGCGTGTTTTTCAAGAAATTAAAAAAATAGAACTCCTGTTTTTTGTAATTAGTTTTTTAATTCTAGTTTGGCTGATTTTGGCCGTTGGTGTTTCAAAGGCTGGTTTAAACCTTGAGCATTCATCGACTGGCATTGGCATCCATGCTTTTTGTTCCACCATTGTTATGATGCCTGATTTAATTTAAACTCTTCAAGCATTTGGCGTTCGTGGCATGCTGAAACGGACCCAGAGTTGAGCAGCTTTGCCAATTCCTTCTACTTATTATTATTATATATTTTTTGGTTAAAGATTTTTTTCTTAATTATGCAGGACTGATTGTGATTTTACAGTTTTTGTGTGCTTTTTTTCAATCGACAAGTCCTCCTTTCAGTTGAAGGTTTTGTCCACGTGTTGTGAGCAGTTTTCTTCATGAAGGACTTGTCGTTATCTGGCCCTTTCACCAAGTACATTTCACAAAGCACCTGGGCCTTCAGTTAGTCACTGTATGTTGATTGAATATGTGTTAGAAGTGGAGACATTTATTACTTGACACTTTTGAAGATTGTAAAACTTCTCTGATAAAGATGGTTGAATGGCACAGGGTCATGCAACACGAGCGGCCAACACGTGGTGCGTGGATTGTGAGGTCTATTTATTAAAACTGTACTCATTGGACTTTGTCTAATTTGCTTTAGCTTATGTTGAGAGTATAAATCCCCTTTTTTATTATATTTTATTATTATTTAATACATTTTTGCCTATAATGATAATGACATAACCAGTGAAAGCTGACTACAAACGACTACATTCAGACTTCTCGCTAACTCCAGCCACACTCTGCAGGTGGTCATTAAACTACCATTTGTCTTCAAGCTCATTTGTATTCAAATCTGTTTACTTAATAAAGTTTGACAATTAATTTTGTTCTCCTATAACGAGTCATAGCCAAATGACATGATCTGTGAGAAGTAATGAACCAGTAGAGGATGCAATGAATTCCTTCACATTCTGCTTGACTTCATTGTCATTTTATTAACTCACTCGCTTCAAAGGTGAGAAGTATATTCCAGAAGACCTACGGCGAGGTGTTAACGTTGTGCCCTCCAAGTGAAGAGGACAGACGGAACTTCTTCTCTGATTTGCTTCTGGTCCAGGCAGCCAGAGCTCCACCACGTGTCAGGAATGCAGGTACTGTGCCTTAAATGTCATTTCTGCTCCACAGTGTTATCCGCTCGATGAGCATACAGATGGATAAGGTTTGGGTTATAGTTGCTGCGTTCACGTCTCTACAGAGGCCCGCTGGAGCTAATGTGGCGTAAAGGTTGTCTGATATGGGGCGTGTTTGTTCAGGGTCCAGAGTAAATGTTACAGAACCATTATTAATATGCAGCACAGAGGAATAGAATACTAATGTTGTAATTGTTGTCTTTTTACTAGGGGTTTTTGTTCTTAACCTTAAAAACAAAAATGAAACATTTTTGTTTCTCACCACTTGTTTTTCTGTAAACAAACTGTGGCAAAATGGCTTTTTAAACTGTAGTCATGTTGTTTATGTTGTGTACAAAGTCCTTTTATCACACTGAAATACCTGAGACTTGTTCATCCAGAAATTTCAATAGAAAAACCCTTATAGTGCCCGGCAGTTTTTCCCACACCCCCTTTTTGATGCGAGGTAGGGGTCCCGTGCTTTACTTTTCCAGTGCTCTTCAGGGGTTCCAGTCCAACCAAGACAGCAGTCTGGCTTCCAGTAGAGAGGACAGGCGATAAGCAGGAAAAGGAATTGCCATGAGAGGGCCCGGCTGCTATTAGCCATAATTAGAATCAGGGTTTGAAATGCTCCCAGTGAGTGAAGCAGCCTTAGGGGCTGTGGCTTCTTCCTAACGATGTCTGCGAATCCCTTGGGCAAAGACAGATGCCTGGGGAAAACAGGAGAGAATATCTGCTTAGCTGGCCTCATCACTCTGTCACAGGCTGCATCTTATTTCTCGGTGTCTTTGAATATATGTTTGCAGTGGAATTTCCCAGGTGCAGGAATGTCGAAACTTGTTTACCTGCATAGGTTAATGGAAAAAATAAGGTCAAGGATTCCGTTTGAGATGACATTTCTGCTGTCTTAAATGTGAGCAGTGGAACTGTGAGTTGTTTTTTTTTGTTGTTGTTGTTTTTGCCTGTGGCGAGGCTTTAGAGTCTTGTTGTTCACTTGCGATGAAACATTTTAGTTTTCACTTTGTCTTTCAAGACTCCTTGGTGAAATTATTGTTTTTTTAATTGAATCTGCGTGGAACTGCGATGTGTGGTTCTCCTCTCAGTTCTGCTCTATGTCTTTCACTTGACTTTCCATCTCCAGGAAAGTGTGAAGAAGTTCTGCCAGTGGCAGCGGCTCCGGGCCCCAGAGTGCTGTCAGCAGAGGAACAGCGCCGTCTGGCTGATCAGGAGGAAAACACATTACGGGAGCTCAGGCTCTTTCTCAGGGACGTGACCAAACGCCTGGCCACTGACAAACGGTTTTACATCTTCAGCAAGCCTGTTGACATTGAAGAGGTGAGTAGGAACGAATGCGTCGTGTGACTGTTTCCACAGTTTGTCAGTCACAATTATTCAGCTTTTATTCAAACAAACTATGTTTGTGGTGTTAGGTGTCAGACTACCTTGAAGTAATTCAGCAGCCCATGGACCTGTCAACTGTCATGACCAAGATTGACACACACAAGTACCTGACAGTGAAAGAGTTCCTGGTGGATATTGACCTCATATGCAGTAATGCATTAGAATACAACCCTGACAAGGACCCTGGAGGTAAGAAGTAATGGACATCAAAATGTTTCTGAGAGACAAGAATACAAATACAAATACTCATATGCTAGTCCTGCAGCTGCTTTTGTCTCCGTTTGTATTGGTACAATCCCGACCACTGCCAATAAAAGCTGTATTTTCTTTCTTTGTGCCATGGGTGGTACTTCATTATATTAATAGAGAAACACTGGCCTTGAAATATAAATTTAGCAAAGTCCTTTCTATTGCAAATCTGAGGTATATTAAGTCCAAATAATTTGCCCGTGTGTTTGTGCAGTCTTTGTATTAATTCATTAGGCTGTGTTTGTGCGAGTAAAAAGTAATTAAACGAACCACTTAATGACTTACAAAAACGGGGCTTCCAGGCAATAAAATTACAGAACAGTCTTGCAGAAGTTAAAATGACATGAAATACACACAGCAAAGAGAATTTTCACTGTGTAATGCATGCTCTGTAGTGCATGATAATTTCATTGTCACTTTTTTTTATTTGCGACTTGATCCCACGTTCACTTCCGTCGTCCCTCTGCTGCTGGCTTCATAATGAGTTTTGGAACACAAAGAAACAAAGAGACCTATTTCTGCAAACGGTTCCTAATAGGTTAGATTTATATTTATACTCCTAATGGAGGAGTTGCATATGTTTAAAAAAAAGGCCTGTGTTTAGACAGAGAGATGCGTGTCTGTGTGTGCACCATAATAACCAGGAATAATGGACGCCAATTAAGAACAGCTGGTTCCACAAAAGAAGAAAAGTGCCCGATGCTAAAATTAAAATCTCAGGAGAAAAACCACTGATATTATGTGAAAGGCCCCATACAGTAGGTCAGCTTCAGACCATTCACTCGACGTGCCCATTTTAATTTTGCCTCGTGTGTTTAGCTGCTTCAGTTCCCTCGCTAGCATATAACTGGCTGCTACTAATGGGAAGCAGTTCTGTGCCAGCTCGAATGAATAAATCATTTCTCTGTCTTTTCAGGCAAAGGGCCTGGGTCATTTGTTGGAATGCAGGGTCTACAAATGATACACTAAAGGGGAAAAATGCAATTAGGCAGTTTAATAAAAAAGACTAACGAAGGCTCTTGCCTGCTCATCTATGGCCCGGCCCTGGGAATATAGCTCAGACTTTGCACAATTATGCTGCTAGAAAGTTCTACTGTAGATTACAAAGTGCTGAGAAAACTCATTATCCCTGTGTGGTCTGGTCGCCTGCACACAGAGGACTGTTCGCTCTCCAAGGACGATAGTGTCATCCATGTACATCTTTATATTAAGACCAAGGTTTATGTTGGTCTTCATGTCTTTTTTACCTACTGGCCTCGACAGATAATGACTTGGTATTGATAAAAAAAACCGGGGGGAAAGCTGCACAATATGTGTCTCCACCGTGTGAGTTATTGCTACAAATTCTTCATTACTCCAGGGAAATGGCAAAAACAATCCTCGGTCAACTCAGCAACAGTGGGAGAACAGATAAACAGCAGTTTGCTTCCTTCTGCTCTTCTGGCATTTTACCTGCCATTTGTTGCTTTCCCATGCCCTTTTATTGCACAAACACACACACACACACACATACACACACTCAAATAGCAGTCATCGCAATTAGCCAGCCGTCCTCCAATTAGACAAAGAAAGCTGACATATTGTGACCCTCCTGCCACCCTCTGCCTGAACTGCTCTCTCTGTGTCTGCTGTAATGAGAGTCGCAGTGTTTACAGAGCCTGTGATTTTTGGACTTTTCCCCCTTCGTCTCAGTATTTATTTTCTCCACACAGATGCAGGAACTGACAAGGTAGATTTAACGACACCGTTATACATTTCAGAGCAAACTGAAGGAAGACTGCTATGAAGGTGTAGGGGGATGGGGAGTCTTTAATTCAAGCTTAACCGTCCTGCTTGCCAGTGTACACACTTGCTTTGTTTTTATATATAAACAGACGAAGCCTACCTTTATTCCCTTATTCAAGCTGTGAGAAGATCTTAGAACGACCTTTCTCACAGATGCAGTAGAGAAGGCATCTGCTCTTTATTGACTCTCTTACACACATCATGGAGTGTGGAGAATATGCCCCGTTAATCTCCAAACCTCAGTCCTTGCTTGTAAGCCTTAACAGTGTAAGAAAATAAATAGATATTTAATGAGAAAAAAAAAAACTTAAAAAGGCTCATGTTTTCTGTCCCTCTCTTTCCCAGATAAGGTGATCAGACACCGAGCATGCAGCCTAAAGGACACAGCCCATGCTATATTTGCCGCTGAGCTGGACCCGGAGTTCGACCGCATGTGTGAAGAAATAAAAGAGGCGCGACGGAAAAAGAGTGAGGAAACAGTTTCACCGAATCAAAGTTGTAAACTAAAAATAACCCAAATAACCCAAAACTCTGTTTACTGCAGTAGTGAACTTTTTATTCCGGTTAGTGTGTCTGAAACAAAAAGGTTATGGTGCAATTTAAATATCTTAGATATTTAAATATTTTTGTCATAAACATTTCAAACAGCCAGTTTGACTGCAGATAATTACCACTTTAAAACTCAAATTGGCAAGTTTGTATTTTATATCTCCGTGCTCTCTCTGTGGATACCTACAACAAACACTAATGTTACACACTAATAGGAGTGCACTTAAAAGCTTCATTTGTTAATTTAAATAATAATAAAAAACACTCCCTGAGTTGAATAATAAACACCAAGCCACTCAACGTTTGCTCTGTAGGTCGTTGTTTGCCTTTTCGCTCTGCGTTCTTTGGGACCATTAGATTGTTTTTCAGAAGAGAAACTTGCTTTCAGGAGAAAATAATCACCCGGGCTGCTCGGTAGTACTTGATGGAGTTTTAGTGCAGAGTATGTGGAGCAGTAAGAAGGCATGCCCGAGGCTGCAGCAATCCAGACGGTACCTTCTGTTCAAGATGTCTGCTTCATGCTCTGCATCTGTATGTTCACCAAACAGCCCCAAGCACTGCTGAGTGGACTTTGGGTAAATCAGAGTCAGGCTTTTGCTTCAGGAACATCTCTAAGAAATGTTGAGATTTTTTTCAAAATACTAGGTTTCTGATTTTTTTTTTCAACTTTGTTTATTGGATTTTGCAGAAGTATACAACTGTATAAAAAGCATTAATTACATTTTTTTAAATTTACTTTTAAAAAGAAATGTCAAAAGTGACCTACAGTATCAGCATCTGAAGTGAGTTGTTAAGGACCTGTAATATGTGGTAACTCATACTCAGACTTTGGTTTTTTTTTTTTTTTTCAACTGCTAAAACATTTACACAAACACACAGTAAGTTAGTGCACATATGAAAAGAGTTTAACCTGTTGTCTGATCCTCTGGGGGTGCTGCACAGACCTGCTCACACCACCTCCACAGACGGCTGCACCGGGTGCTGTGGCAACCAGAAAGCCCCCCGCCACGGGAGAGGAGCCGACCAGGAGCAGCACTCAGGGCGAGGCCACGGACAAACAATGCGTGAGCTCCTCCAGTAAGTAATCAATCCTTCACCTCACACACTTTTTAATTGCTTTGCTGCAAAAACAATGTGATTGATGAAATCCTCTAAGTGATCAGGCGTATAGATGATTGGTCTAGCCACTTTCACTTTCTCAAAAGTTTTATGACGGATGCTGAGTCGGTGCTGAGTCAGGGCGCCGCTTTAATCAGCACATCATGGATCTGTCTTTCTGCACATAATGTTCATTTTCCAATCAGTTTCATCGAGTATTTTCAGTCTCATCTGGCACATGTGAAAATATTTCTCCAAATACAGTTCATTCCCAAAGTTAAATCTGCGGAATCCATTTCTCAGCAGTAGAGAAGGAACTCAGAGATCGACCTTCGTTAGAACATGACCACACCACAGGGCAATTACAAGCCCACCTGTGGTGATCTCCAGGTGCCTAAGGGTGAAGGGACGGCTGAGCATGAGCAGGGGGCAGTCCATTGAAGCTCTTGCCTTGAATCCTGAATGAGGATTATGCAGCCTCTAGAAGTAATAATCTAAAAAAAAAGTCTAACCTCTTCACGTGGGACTAAGCATTGAGGTTAAAGTAGAAAATGAGAGACGGTGTAGTGGCACATGTGCTGTTTAAAAGGGATTTTAGTATGGCTGCTGTAATGTCAGGATTTTCCACGCATTTCAGCTGTTGGTCACAAGGTGGTGCTTTTCTCTCATAGGAATATTGCAATTAGAACCCCTGCTGTGTGTATAAACCTCGGCTTCTCCCAGTCAGATGGGTCACCTCTTGAGAAAGGAGAGCCTCTGTTGGCTACCATTAGTACTTGGAATATCTCCATATCTCATGTCCAAGACTCTATAAGACTCTATAAGAGGGAACAGAATCCTTAGACAAAAGTGTACTGTTTATTTCTTAACTGAGAAAAAGAAAGGGACGTCTTAATGTACAGCTGCAAGTCAAATAGTTTTTGTCTTGTTTACGACCAAAGATCGCTGTGACATATCAGTAATTACAGCCTACAGCCCCATGTGGCTCATTTGACTTTTCCAGCTGTTAAGCATGACATTTTATTATATCACATGATATTTCATGTGTATCTTACTTTTTTTTTTATCAGAGAAAACAATAATTAGATGTAGACCTTTTAGGAATTGTTCCTTTTTTATACAGTTTAATTTGTTTATTTTTATTAAAAATGGGCCAAGTTTTCCCAACGATTTAAATAATATGCAACAATGGTAAATTAACTGGACATTGTGTTTGGGGATGGTGAACAGAAGAACCCTGTATGGCCCTTTTAGCGGAAGTCCTTATCTCCAACGCTAAATGTCACAGATGCGGACCACCAATTTAGAGGCTCTTGGGAGAGTCGTTATCTGCCTCCACCAGAGGCTTAATTAATTAGACTAACTCAGGTGATTAATTTGTGACATTGGCAGCCAGTTCTCACCTGGAGCAAATCAGCAAGGCAGCTATTAGGCTAATTGATCACAAAGTCGGTTATGTCTCTATATGACACCGCCGCATCATGAAAAAAAAGGCTCCGGTATTGGCAGTTCCGTCCTGAGATTTATCGAGGGGCCGCCTTTCCTTCAGTAACCGCCATTTCATATTGCCTAGAGCTGAAGATTGCCCTTGAAATAGACATGTATAATGTAAAGTTCAAGGGAATGTAAAAAAGTTACGGAAGAAGCTCTGTGGCCAAAGATATTTTTAAAAAGTGTAAAAAGCAAGGGCTTTGGTCAACACAATTTCTGCAGATACACAACTTGTACAGCTTCTGCCTTTGTCTGGTCAATTAGTCATAGAAAGATGGAAGATCCTGGTACTGCGAATGCACAGGAACCAGCAAGGAGAAATGTGGTTTCCATTAGCCTGCATAGATATCTCCGTCAAGGTTTCCCAGCTCTCCTTTCCTCACAGATCCCTTTTTTTCCGGCAACATCACTTTCCCTGTCCTGTCACTTCATCCCTGAGGAGCAGAGAATGCACGGCCCATTACCTGGACTGCAGCCCCGGGTTCATTTGTAGTGCATCACCACAAGGATCTGGTTCATATACAGTACTTTCTTTTCATTAATAATTGAGTTGTCTCAGTTTTCTCATTCACTCTCGACAGTTTCCACAAGCCCAGTCAACTGTGATTTTTAGTGACAGATCAAAAGAACACGATATTCTTTAACACCCAGAAGCTGCGCCATTCTCTTTGGTTTTCCTAATTGTTCTATTATAGCTGAACCATATACTCTCTTTCATGTCAAATTTGATCTTAGTGTTTTAAATTTAACAGAGATTGACAACAGATTTTCCTTCAACTGTTAAAATTGTTTACTAAAGAAAACCCGTGCCTCCACTGCATATTGTATCCGTCTTATCTTTTCAATAGCACGCTCAAGGCAACAGCAGCCAGGCTGCATTCATGTAGACGGAACGCTTCTCTGCGTTGCCGCCGTCCCGTGTCGTGTCTCACGTCTGTGTAAACAGTATGCTTCGCTCCCAGTGACCAGTGTCAATCTATCATAAGGCTTTGATAGGATATTTTAAGTCATAATAAACACTCCTGCATCCTTTTCTACCTCAGGCTGGAGCAGTTACTGCATAAAAGGATGGCCTGGATTTTTTCCAGGACAATGGGACAGCAGGCTGTAACACACTGTGATGGTCACGCCGCACAAGAAAAAATAGGTTAATAACAAGGTGCCTCCTTATTTGAGCAATACAAAGCAATGTTGAAGACAACATACATGTTTGTTTACTAGGATGCTGTATCTGTTATACTAGCGTTACCTTGAAGCCACTGCGTTCCGCACGCTCACCGATGTCCTTAATATTTCTCCGAACTGCTTGTTTTTACCCAAAGCAACAGTGAATCTTTGTTGCTTTTGTAAACTCTCTAAACAACTGTTTGATGAGTTCTGCAGTCAGCACAATGGGTCCGGTAACTGGGACATAAAGGACAGGTGGCCTTTTGTCCACTGGTTTATGTAAATTTTTTTTATTTATTTATTGGATTTTAAAGCATATTTTTGTGACCCAAAAAACGTTCATATAACTATTATTTATTTTTTATTATTATTTTTCATGTCTTATCAAACAATTCAAATGAAGTTTCATTTAGTTTGAATCCTAATTTTTTGCCATAAGCATATTTTTGTGACCCAAAAAACGTTTAGTTTGAATCCTAATTTTTTGCCATTATATATATATGAAAAGTCTCTGCTTGATTCTCTGAAGGCGGCGTTATTTGTTTTCCAAACTACTCTTTATCCCAATTATCCTAAGCTTTTTTAGTACTACCAGGCAGAATCCTTTGGCCTAGATGAAAAAGCTCTGAGCATAAGCTGCCGTTTGGGCTCACATTCCTGGTGGATTGTGGCTCAGAGCGTGAAATGAATGTAAACTCATCCATGATGCCGCTCGCTTCCATTTATAGTTGTTTTTTTGTTTTTTTTGTGGAGATGAGCCGACATCAGTGTTAGTGTTTTTGAAGAGTCATTATGTGTCTGTCATTCTCTTTATTCTTAACACACATGGTTGGTTGGTTGGTTGGTGCTGCCTGCTACGCGTACACACTCCACGAGGTTGGCTGGTGATGTTCTTCCATGGACTTTAATGCCTTCTTTTACTACTTTGCATTGCAGGAAGCCATGATATGGTAAACACTGAAACGCTTAATTTTTTGCCGTGAAGAAATCAGCCCAAAGTTACGCTGGAATAATTGAGCTTCACTGCTCATTACCTTTGCTCATGGACAATGACTACAAGCTGTGTGTCCTTACAGAAAAGATGGGAAAGGAAATAGGGTTCTTTACTCTTCTACCACTTCTACCACTTAATCACTTCTTCCTTATCCTTGAACTGCTGGAGCTTCAATCCACAGTTTAAATGTCTGAATGATTGCTCCAATAATTAGAATTAGAATTGACACATTCACTGTCTTGAAGTCATTCTTAAACTATCGCTTCATCACAGCTCAAACAGATGAGATATCTGTTGGTGGTAAACATTGATTTTTTTTTCCCCATCAAGGACGCAGATCTGGTGTCATGCGTTGTGGTTTTTCTTAATGTGTTGTATATGATCAAGCATTTTTACTTCCTACACTTTTGAGTCTAATGCAAACAGAATGTAAAAGTCATTGTTGTGTTTTTTTTATTTCAGTAAACGTAATGGTGCCTAATAAAAACCTCTTAGCTTCATCTGTATATTTCCGATGTGAAATGTGGCTTTAGTTCAAGGTGAGAGAATCTGGAGTTGTTGGGTTGCATTTTTGTTGAGTTGTTGCAGTTTAAAACTTTGACATTTTCACTAATTAGCAAGTTAATTGCTGTAAATGAAGCACTAACTCCGTCTGCTAAAATCCTCTTGTAGGTTTTTTTTTTCCTCTAATTTGTCCTTTGATGCTGTAAGTGACAGCAGGGGACGGCTGGACCAGGTCATGTTTTTAAAAACACATCAACAAATGTACTGGTGCTAAATGTTCCCAAAAGAGTTTGAGTCTTTACCAGAACACGTCTCAGTGCTGAGGACATGGTTACAGAGAGAACAGACTTGTTTTTATGGCGATGATGCCACCAGAGAGCAGAGAATCATCTAAATTTATATTTTTAAAAATATGTGTCACAGTAGAGCAAGACTGTTACATCTTTTTTTTTCTTTCACCATCTCCTCTTGGCGTTCAACTTTAACACCATATGTCTGGATACAAATAACCTGCTTTGAATATTTTAGGAGGATAATTAATTTCATTGTGCGAATACTAAGTTTGTAGTGATGGTGTTTGACTTCTCCACTTTCCTGTTGTTTCATAATGGTGACAGCCTGATTCCCTTTACAGTCTCACAGCATTCCTGATGAGTTCTGACACATTTTCACCCGTGTGTGACATCTGACACTAACACTGGCCTCCAGGTCATCGATCCTGACAGTCAACAGAGTAATCGAAAGCACGGCGGTAGCATTTAATACAGACACACTCGGCGCTATATTTCAACGTTATATATTCTTGTCATGCGTTACACAAATC